CCCCAAAACCCCAAAACCCCAAAACCCCAAAACCCCTATAAAGTGTAAAAAAACTGAAGGATCAAATACTAATTAAAATGCTATATTCGATAAACGCTAATGGGTTTTTCCCCTTCTTAGACGCCCCTGAAACGGCAGATTCTGCAAACAACTTAAGCAGAAATAATGCTCAGTTCAAAAACAGCAGCGGGAAGAAAGGAAAACACAGAAGGTTCCATAGTAAAGACTACACTGAAAAGGATGAAATATTTTCATCAGAACTAAAGATGCCCCTAGGCTCTGTGCTTAATGATCAAGACTTTGACCTGATCGATGAGTTAGTCACCAAATGAGCCAAGCCTAATGAAATTTCCAGAAAGATGGACTATTACTATGGATCATTAGAAAAATATCATAGACTAGGAGATTGTCAACCTCTCCTTCCACTCAATTTCGAAACAACAGAAAGCTGAACCGACAATGCAAACCAGAACTGGGGGAATCTGGCAAAAGTAATCCTCCAAGGGAGACAGGATATCTGGAAAGATCTGATGAAGTCCATAACAGGGGATATCCATTACAAACTAAAGGAATTGTGAACGAAAGTTCAAAAACCGAAATTCGGAAAAGTTCTGAAACTTATTGACAAACTCCTTCAGAAAGAGATGGAGCAATGGCAAGAGAAATTTAAAAATCAGAACGAAACTGAGGAGCAAAAGAAGCTAAGGTCTTGCATTACCTTACTCCTCCTACTTAACAAAGGCAAGCTGGAAGATATCATTCTTTCATGAAGGCCTTCGACCAAGAAGAGTAATGATCAGGATCGGTTCACCAAAAAGAAAATGATTTTTAAGAGAAACACTAGATTCGACGCTCCTAAATTCTCAAGGTATTTTAAGAATCAAAATTCAAGAGATCCTCAACAAACCAGTCAATACAAATCTGATAAGGTCGTTCCCTTACTGCCAATGCTTCCTCCTACTTGCCCAGATAGATTGGGGCAAAGAATAGAAGGAATCGAAAAAGTTCCGAAAAAGTTTGTAAAGAAACAAAGAAAGCTTTCTGAGAATAATTATAAGCCTAATATGAATCTTGATGAATACATAACCGAAGAACTGAAGAGACAAAGCCCAAATATTTCATATGGAAGAATATTTAACTGCATCAGCAGGTCTTCTCTTAAAACAACCTCTCCTTCGATTAAAATTTCCAGTGAGATTAAGAAACCTCTAAAAACTGCAGAAATTAATGCTAGAGAGCTAATTGGTAACACATATATGACTCCACTCAAACAGAGGATCCCAAAGCTCCCACCCAGAAGGCTTAGCCAAGACAGACCTCACTGGAGCGGGGTTTCAAATTTTGTATAATCGACTCAAATTGAATTCTTCATCATTAATAATTAGTTTTCAATACATACAGGTGATATTGGGGTTTTGGGGTTTTGGGGTTTTGGGGTTTTGGGGTTTTGGGG